AAGTACATATTTTAACTCCAACTAGGTTAACAAATTGTTGTCTGGCACAAGTCTTAGGGGACTTTAACATCACTAAGTTACTGAAACTATCAGAATGAGTTTCAATTATTTCAATGTAAATAGGTGCTTCTGGAGTTCTTTAGGGTGCTTGAAAACAGTTTGTTCTCATAGATCTTAAACATAGCTCTTGTAGTTTTATGCTGTTAATTGGCACACCCTTAGAGGAATGGGTTTGTTGAGATAAACTATAGCAGCTGCTAAAAAACTTATCATTAGTTCATAGAGTCCAAGAACCCAAATGGATAAGGCTTTTATTTCAATAAAAATTTGATCTCATTTTTTCCCCTGGAATCGTTCATTCATTCATTCATGCATGCATTTATTCATTTAGTGATATTATTAGTAGGATGCATTGGATGAGCTGGGCAGTTAGGTCCCACAAGATAGCCTTGTCCTTGAGGACCTTAGCATCTGGTAGAGGAGGCCTTCAGATAACAACAATATAGTACAGTGTGGCAAGTAGAGAGACCCAGGCTATGATCCAGGCTTGTCTAGAAGCAGGAAGGGCTAAACTGAGTAAATCTTAGAAGGATTAACAGAGGGAGCAGTAACAAGTTGAGTTTTGGAAATGAATTTGAGTTAGCAAAAAACAGAAAACGGAAAAAAAGCAGGAGGTAGAAGGAGACCACAATACAGGCAAAGGGAACATCATATTTAAAAGCTTGTTATGTTGTTGTTATGTGCCGTTGAGTCGGACCCAACTCATAGCCACCCCTCCTTGGGTTTCCGAGGCAGTATCCCTATGGAAGTAGTAGATTGCCCAACCTTCCTTCCGAGGAGTGGCTGGAATGTGCTAGTTAGGGAGTTTGAACTTGCTCTTGAACGTTATAGGGGAGGCTTTGAAAGGTTTTCATCGGGCAAGTGACATCATCACATGTGTGCTTTGGAGACATTCTTGTCTTAGTGGGCAGGGATGAATTGGATAAGGGCCCAAAGATCAATTAGCAGTTCTTGTGTTAATGCTGTGCAAGAGGTCCTTGAACCAAGGTAGTGGCAGAGGGAAGAGAGTTGCAGGGGGTTCAAAGGAGGGTGAATCTGAAGGTCTTGGTCAGGGTGATTTTGAGGGGTGAATCAAAGAGGAGCAGACTAGGGTAACTGGGTTCTAGCTCGAGCTTTTAAGTTTATTACAGATATCTTTCACTGAGATGGGGAGCAGTGTGATGTGGAAAGGGCCATGGACTCCACTATGAGTGTTCATGGATCTTCCGTATGGGGCTGTCTAGGCCAGAAGCTGGATATGTGGGAGAGGTGCTTGACCTGGGATGGAGAGGCAGTTGATGGTTTTAATAACCACCTCAGCTCACACAAGGTGGTTGAAACAATGTGTTTGGATAAAGTCACCTTGGAATTGTAGCAGGATGTGAAGAACAGCAGCTGGGCATGACTGACTCTCAGGGTCACAGTAACATTTAAGGAAACAGAGAAAGCAGAAAAGTTTGCCATCCACAAAAGACTATTCAGCATTCCAACCAAGTTAACAAAGATTTTCAGAATGGATAAAAATATTTGAAGTCTTAAGCTCGGCAGTTAATTTTGAGTGTAACATTTAAAATGCATTGCTGTGTTGTGAGAAGACATTTCTAATCAGTATAGTTTTAGAATATGTATTCAACATAACGGGAGCTCTGGTAGCATAGTGGGTAAGGCACTTGACTGCTAACCAGAAAGAAGGCTGGCGGTTCAAACCCAGCAGCCACTCCTCAGAAGGAAGATGGGGCAATCTACTTCCATAGTGATACTGCCTCGGAAACCCAAGGAGGGATCGCTATGAGTCGGGTGTGACTCGACGGCACATAACAACAACAACATTATCTTTCCCTAGACAATAATTAGATTTAACGAATAATAATAATGGTAGAGTTCGAGAATTCCAACCCATTTAGATGAGGAAAATAGATTCTTTACCTTAATTTTAGTATTATACTGCCCATTCCTTCTACAAATACAGTGCCTGATCTGAGCAACTCCAATGAAATCTTAAGGTCACTCTGCCTTTCCCTGAAAAACGACAGTGTTAGAATATTTGCTGTTGGGTTCTTAAATTAACAATTAATATATTTTAAAAAAGATACACAAATGGTTTTGCTTTTCTTAACTGTTTATTGTCAGTGTCTGTGGGAAGACCTCAACGCTTTGCATTTATAAACTTTTTCCTTTTTATTTACTAGTACTGCACATTGATTATAGCCCTTTACAAAAATTTTCCCAGTGCTTACATGTGTATTTTGTAATTTAATCCTCCTAACAAACAGCTGAGTCCCTGGGTGGTACAATGGTTAAAGTGCTCAGCTGCCAACCAAACCTACACTGAGGTGCCTTGGAAGAAAGCCCTGGCAATCCACTTCCAAAAAATCAGCCATGGAAAGCCCTGTGGAGCACAGTTCTGCTCTGACCACATGGGGCCACCAGGAGTCAGAGTTAATTTGACAGCAACTAGTTCAGGTGGCTAATAGCTCTGATAGGTTAGGCAGGCATTGTTTCCATTTTCCAGATACACAAACTGAGACTCAATGAATAAGTTCATACTTTAGGAAGTGGGTGAGCCAGGATTGCCACTAGTCTTGTGACCATAAATCAGTACTCTTTCCACAAAAAGGGATAGATGGCTCAAAGCCTGTATGTTAACAGTTGGGCAATAGCTAACAAGTAGGGAGAAAAGCTCTGATAGTTTTCAGAACTACTTGTCATCGGTACCATCATTGATGGTTAGTGGGTATGTGGCACTGTAGTAACTGGATTTTTAAATTTTAGTTCATAAACTTTTTTTTTTTTTCAACTGAGTAGCTAATTTGCAAATGTCTTTGTTTGTCTTTTCATTTTTGTTTACTCTGTGTAAAGGCCCACTATTTCAGTAATAGGTGCGTGCTTTCTGTTCATGTGGAACATTGAGCCATTGGAAATACTTAATTTCCTTTTTGGTATATCTAAGAACTTCTGCCTCTCCAGTGGAAAGTGGAGCTACATGTGACCTGATGACTAGAAGCCTTCCCTGGTGGTTTGGCTTAAAGGGGGCAGGATGACCTTGTCAGCTGTTGGTAGTGTTCTGTCCTTGATCAGCTTTTCGGCAGGGCTGACTTCTTCATTAAGCAAGGTGGGTAGGGCCCATAGTACTTCTAGGGGCCCAGGAAAATATTTTAATTTCTTAAAATCAGAAGAAAAAAACAAAACTTTCAGTTCAAAGGAAATGTTTTGACATAAGCTCTTACTGTATTCTATTAATATATTCAGGGGGCGGTGGTCATTCAGTGGTAGAATTATTACTTTCCATGGGGAAGGCCCAGGTTTGACTCCTGGACGATGTACCTCACGCACAGCCACCATTTGTCTGTGTTAGTGGGAGCTTGCATTTTGCCGTGATGCTGGACAGATGTCTGTGGAGCTTCCAGACTAAGACAAACTAGAAAGAAAGACCTGGCTATCTATTCTGAAAATCAGCCATTGAAAACCCTGTGGATCACAGTGGTCCAGTCTACAACCAATCATGGGGATGGAGTAGGAATATTGTTGTTGTTGTTATGTGCCATCGAGTCGGACCCTACTCATAGCGACCCTCCCTGGGTTTCTGAGGTGGTATCACTATACTATGGAAGTAGATTGCCCAACCTTCCTTCTGAGGAGTGGCTGGTGGGTTTGAACCGC